TTAACTTTGTGTTAAAGTCGGGCTCTAGTCCTGAGGTACAGGGGATATCTCACGCTTCAGGGTTTTTGTGCTGTTGTTTTCTGAGCTCTATACAGGGACCTGACTTCAGGTATTCCTCTCTACCCCTGAGCCACGAACAGACCCTTGCAATGCTATCACTGCAAATTGTTTCCAGAAGGCTCTTCCACAGTTGTAAGTTCCAGTTCACCCCTCTGCCTTGGAATCACAACCAGGGACTCTGTGAGTGCCCACAGCCAGCAGGATCCCTGACCTCTGTGACTGCACTCAGTGGCATGTGCTCACTTCTTACAGCCACAGCCCAGGACCACATCAGGCCCTGAAATCTTCCCTGACCAGCTGCTTGACCCCCACATTGTCTGTGGGGAGAAAGTTCCAAAGCTGAGGGTGCAGCCCAACACAGCCACTTCTTGTTTGTTGATTTGGCAGTATCTGCCCAGTATTTGCACTTTAATTGGGTCAAACCACCACTCTGGGGGGTTGTCTTTCCTAACATCCTCCCAAGTTGTCTTAGGCTGGACAACTGCTTTACCCTTTTATTTTTGCTGCTCAAAACATGCTTTGAGGCATTATTTTATATTGTTTGTGGGAGAATTTAGGAGAGCCAAGCAATTTCCTGCCTTATGGCACCATTTTTCTAGAATCCTCTTCCAGGAATTCTTGTTGGGTTTGTTCAAATTTGCATTGTCCTTTGAGACTTTGCTTGTAGCTGTTTTCCATATCATTTTCTTCTTGGTTTGTGTCTCGATCACCCCTGTCAACATGGTGACAGGTAGTATGGCAAAGTTGTTTTTTTGTTAGTTGTTCATTTTCCCAACCTATTTTTTAACTTCTAATTTTATCCAAGAAAGGCCCCTTCTCTCTTGCTGCCATAGTGTTAGCACTCCATTATACCCTGGGATGGCAACCAGGGCCTCTGCTCCCTTGTGAGGACAAGTGCTCCTCTCCACGATAAACAGCAACCCAGAACTGGGTATTTTGCCCGGAGTTGACAAACAGTGCCTGGTCCTATGCCCAGCGCTGCAGGGCTCCCCTATAATCTCTTCCTGACCAGTTGCCCAGTGCCTTTACTGCTTCTTTGGTAAGAGCTCCTGGAGCCATTGATACTGTTGCTGCTGCTAGGACAGCCGCTTCCAAGACCCACAGCTGTTGCTGCTGCTGTGTGCATTCTGGGCTGGCCCCCACCCCAGCATCACAGATCTCTCTTCCAATCTCCTAAGTTGCCTTGGGCTGGAGAAATATCTTACCCTGACCTATTGTTAGCTACATCACTTTAAAGTTGTTTGGAAGGGAATTTTGGGAGGGTTTGGCTGGAATGCTTCCTCTACTTTACCATCTTGGCTCCACTTCCCCAGAGGCAGGTCTTGAGCCCATGAATGCCCTACTCTGAGGCCAGCTCTTAATCTACAGTTGTTATACTGGTTCCATCATGATACTTTATGTGAAGTAATGAATTTAAATAATAGTTACTAGTCAAATACAGTTAGTATTGTTATTTAGTTGCTAACAAAACATTAAAGAAAAAATTCTTGCACTATAAATGATCAGTTTGCATGACTTCAAGGGAAGCACTAAATAGAAAGGAAAGAAGTTTGGGTTTTTAAGGATATGGAATTTCATCATTTTAAAAATCTGTTGAAATTCAAATAGTGATCTGTGAGCATTTTATGCATTTCCTGAATGCTTGGTCCCAGATGTTTATGCTAACTTAGTTATTTGTGTTCCCTAGATTTCACTGCTTTGGTATTTTGGGGATAACCTTCTAAAACACTAAGGGCCTATGTTCTATGTGGTAAGGGAAATAAATTTATTTAGGCATTATTTTGTTATTCTCTAGACACACTGGATTCCCCAAATCTTAAGAGACTCTGAGAAGAGCAGCTGGTTCTAATTGCTTCTCATTTTAATGTGACTGGTTTGTACTTTGAAATGGGCACTGCTTCTCTGACTTAAATGGCATTTGATAGTCCTTAAAAGCTTAACTTCTTCCCTGGGAATCTGCGGCAGACTGTTAAGTGTCAAAGCAATTTAGAAATCAGTACAATGTCCTTTAACACTGAGTCTTCAAACAACGAACTATCCTAGAACCCACAAAAAATCATAGGTGAAGAATAGCTACTCAAGCTAGGCACTGGGGAAAATCAGGTTTGTGGGTAATACACATCTAACCTTCTCAATCTGCTCAGTACCATAACAAAATATATATGGCTCACCTAAACAGTCTTAATACATTGTTTGAAGCTTTAATGGCTTAAGCATACACTAAGACTTTTGGGACACCCTGTATAGAAAGATGCCCCAGTGAACTAAAAGAGTTAAAATACTTTCCCTAAGAGCATGCTAGTTCTTTACAACGCCAGTTTAAAGGACCCTAGGTAGACAATCTAGTCCAACTCCTGAATTTTACAGATGAGGCAAACAGGTCCAGAAAGGTAAAATTACTTACCTAAACACATACAGATAGTTAGTCAAAGAGTCAAAATATAGAGTTTCACTGTTAGGTATTTGTATAATAAATGGTATTTTCCCTCCTCCTCTAAATGGATATTTTAAGACAGCTACAAATCAAAACTCTTTTGTTACTGTTAATCTAGTTTTTCAAGCAATACAAATTGCCCAAATCTGCCATGACGTTATTTACTATGTGCCTGTATCACCAGAGGCAGTGTTGATGAAAAGAAAGTTAAACTTCACACAAGAGAAAGAGAAGAACCTCGATACGTAGGGAGCCAAAGGCTTTTCTTATGCCATCATCTTTTCATTTTCTCCTTTCTGACCTCGGCTTACTTTGGGTCGGCCTGTCTTTTACTTTGTCATTGGAAGCACCTCGAGGATAGGGTCAATATGTTCATTAATGTTACATCATTCATCCAGTGTATCTTATGCTTCAAGGACCTATGGTTTCATAGGTATGTGTAATCCCTCCAACAACTGTGGTTGCATCCACTAGAACTTAGCAGGTCTATCTTCTATAAGTTGTGTCCAAAATATGTATCACCTTGAGGCCAATCTGGTTATGGGCCTAATTTTAGCTAGACTGTTTCTTCAATTATGCAATCTGGCACTGGACCTTTAAATGTACACTATTAAAAAATAATAAACTTTTTAATTGAGTACTTTAACTTCAGGAATAGTCAAATAGCTACTGAGTAGCTTTCCAGCAGATTAATTGATTCCTTTTGATTTTTGATGCAATAAGGGTATTATTTAGGTCTTATTAATAAATGTTAAATTGAAGTGAAATAAACTTAGAAGTTGGTAAACTGTCTTTTATTAACATTGCTCTTCAGCCATTCAATATTAATCAGAACTGACAAAAGAGTGTTGACACAATACTTTTGTTAGAACACTGGCCCCTTAGGATACTTTCATTTTACTCTATAAGTCTCAATGTTCCAGTGATTTTTACAAAATAATATTGTCTTAGCATGTAAGTATTTGCTTTTACTGAGTTTACCTGAAAATACAGATATTATTATAATTTTTCACTGTAGAAATGTTCTAACCATACCATGCACGATCTTTTCTTTTTTTCTGGCTAGGCAATGGGGTTAAGTGACTTGCCCAGGGTCACACAGATAGTAAGTGTTATGTGTCTGAGGCCAGATTTGAACTCAGGTCCTTCTGAATCCAGGGCCGGTGCTCTATCCACTGCGCCACCTACCTGCCCCTACACATGATCTTTTGAAGATAAATTGCCATAGACCATTGCTTCCTTGTGATTTCCACTTTTATCCTCCATCTGAGCAAACATCAGAAATTTTGGCTTACATCATGATGGTTGCAAATAACTCAATTTGGGAAGGTGGGGTAGATTAGGCCTCAGGTGGATGTGCATTAGAGGCATCTTATCCATCCTTCTATCTTACAGAATATCTTACTAGTTAGGCACGTGAAAAATAGATGGGGGGCTGGGGCAGAGATGTCAGGATCCCAATGAATTGAGCATCATGGAATTGGTTTAATCCTGGTCTACACTGCTCCTTGCTTCTAAAACTTCCAAGGTCTAGAAAGCAGGCAATGATTAGTAGCGGTGAGTGATGACATTTACTGCTAGGCCATACTTTCAACTTTCTTGAGATCTATAGGGAAGCTATAGTGTCATTGCTTCTGCTTTTACTTCTCAGCCCTATGTCCCCCTTTCAGACAGGCCAGGGTTTGGGGCCTCCTTTCTCTTTTCCTCCTTTTGTCCTATGTTGGATAATGAGAATTTTCGTCAGTCCTGAGAACAGGATATCGGAAAGCAACAGCCACAAAACTAAATCCTTAAGGAAGATAAATATGCCGGGCTTAGAATATTGTCCTAGGAAACACGGAGTATAGTTGGATGGGTGGGATCCCAGGTGACCCTGTGTCCTTTCTTCCACAGATTACCTTCTTTTGGTTTTCTTATGGCTGCTGCCTACAAGACCACTTTATTTTGCTTTTTCAGTACAATGTTAAAAGGGAATTTAAAAATAATGCCCATTTAGGCAGTTACTGGTAATCAATTAAAAATGTTTTATATTCAGAAGCACCTTCTACTGAATCTAAAAGTTGTCAGGATCTGCTGAATAGTTTTATTTATTGTGCATTCTAAGTAGGTTAAAAATGCTTTGAATAAGGGAGGAAAAGTGCTAAAATTTCCACACTGTACATGTACATCTAAGGTGCTTTCTTGAAGCATTCTGGGTCTTCTCAGGACCTACTTCATTAGTAAATTTTTTTTTTAGTAGTTAAAGAGAACAAAACACATTTTTCAAAATACCAGCATAACATGGCATATGATGGGCCCTGGAGTGAGGAACACTTGCATTCAAGGTCTGAATCTTAATTTTTTAGCACCCCCGGAAGCCACCTGAGATTATATATAAGTTGAAGACCGTACAAGTCTGTGTTGGTGGAATCATTTTCCCTACACTCACAGAAATAGAGAACTGGACCAAACAAGCAACAAAAAAGAGAAAAAATAAAAAGAAATGTCAATGCCATGGCCAGGAGTATAATTTTTTACGTTGAGCTTTCTTTAATTTTGGAATGAGCAAAAGGTATATTATGGTTTTTCTCATTTAGATATGAAAATCATAATGTTAAAATGGACATTAAATGAAGAGAGCATGGTAACTGACTGATTCACCAACCACAAAATATAAATCTTTACTTTTTTCTTACCCTTCCCCCCCACCCAAGACAATCTTCACAGTAAGTAGCTGAGTCCAGAAAACTGCTGTTGAACCTTTTCTTTTCCCAAAGCATGACAAATGCTCTTCTTGAATGAAGGTCTCCTGTGTAAGGACAGAGACATAAAATCCATAAAAATTTCACTTAAGGGAAGGCGCAGTGATATTACTGAAATAAACTACTACATCACCCAAACCTGAGGTTCACAGTGGAGTGCCATAATGTTTTTCTGTCATCTTCCATATAAACCATTTTTCTGAAACATACTGAGTGATTAAAGCTAAAGGATGGAGTTCAATGGGAATATATCAATAAATAAGTAAAATGGGAGAGAAAAACATGAGTGATCTTTACATGAGTGCATGAAACATAGCATCCAATATAACTAATATTTCTCTAATCACAAATAAAAATGTTTACTGTTATCTTGATCTGCTATATTGTAGAAAAAATGCATACAAAGAATACATATATTTGTATAGCATACAGATATTATGCAAATAAGTATGAATCTTAGCTAATACTACCTAAGAAAAATAACAATGAGCATTTATTAAGCTCTTACTATAGGCCAGACATCATACCGGGGATGCAAAGAAAAGCAAAAGAATAGTCCTCAAGGACCTTATAATCTAATGGAAATTAAAAAACCCCAACAACACAACTTTCTGTTATTAGTCTTAAAGATAATTTGGTATGCTAGCATATCACCTGTAGAAATGGATAATTGCATTTCTTCTTTACCCAAGTTTGTTCCCTCAATTTCTTTTTCTTGTCTTATTGCTATGGCAAATGAAGCTCATTCTCCCAAACATATGAAGCTGTGGTTGGGGGAACAGTAACAACAATCAATCTGAAAATCATTTACTGGTATATCTTCCTTTACTCAATGTGTGACCTGGAAAATTCAATTCAATAAACATTAAACTGGCACCTATCATGTGCCAGGCATTGTGTTAAGTGCTGAGGACAGCATCTAAAGACAAATGAAAGTTTCCTGTCCTCAAGGAGTTTATGTATTGCTAGATCAGGTGTTCTTAACCTGGAGTCTGTGAACTTTTATTTTTTTAGCATTTTGATAGCCATATTTCAATATTCTTGGCTTCCTTTGTAATCCTATATATTTTACGTATCTAAAAAAGTTATTCTGATTTGGGATCCACAGGCTTCATCCGGCTGTCAAGAGTTCTATGACACAAAAAAAGTTAACAACCTCTCTGCCAGGAGGATGCAAAACACACATAAGCAAATACAAAACAAGCGAAGCAGATAAATTTCACGGAGGGAAAGAACACTAACAATGGGGAGAATATGAAATTTTAGAAATCAAATTGTTTTCCTCTTGTTTTGCATTATAATTTTATCAAACTTTATCTTCATTTCTGATTGACCAGTATTTTTTTTTTAGCAGCATCCAATACTTGGGCCTTATAACCTTCTGTATTTGAAACTGTTATTTACCTTGAGTCTTAATAAGTACAAATTATTTATAAATAAATGTTTAAATACACATTCCAATGAAGTCTGCTTCTTTTCTTCCTTGCCACAGATTATGGCCTGGCAGGGGAAGTCAGCCTGTTCCTTGTTCCCCACTGTCACATACAGATGACTATTCTGCCAAGAATCAACAACCTCTCTCTTGAAATCCATGCCATACTACTCTTTCCAACCTCATTACAATCTGTAGTGATATGATTCTGGAAGAATGACAATACACTGATATCATATATGCCCATATATTCTTCTTTATAATAATGTTAAGTACATATACTTGATTGCTGGATTTTTTGTCCTGAGGGGGAAGGGCCTAACATGGGGCAATAAATACCATCACTCCGAGATATGGAAATAGTTGGAGCTTGTAGTTAAGAACACAGAAAAGTATCTGGTATCCATCCATCCTAAGGGTAGAATCAGTCAGCTCTACTTGGTTAATAAATAGGAAGCAAGGACAGGAGCACAAAGAAGTACAACTCCAGAATATGAGAGACATTAAAGAAAAAGAAATTGAGAAAATATAATACAGAAGAGAGTCAACTAAAACATTAACTTAAACAACTAATAACTTCAAAGTTGCAGGATATAAAATAAACTCACACAAATCACCAGCCTTTCTATGTAACACCAATAAAACTCAGCAGGAATAGAAAGAGAAACTTCATTTAAAATAACTACACAATGTATAAAGTACGTGGCAGTCTACCCGTCAAGATACACACAAGAACAAAACATTGTTTATAGAAACAAAGGCAGAGCAAAATAGCTGGAAAAAATATTAAACCATTCTTTTAAATTAATTAATTTATTTAGTGCCATACCAATCAAACTACCAAGGGATTACTTCATAGAACTAGAAAAAAATAAGGAAATTCATATGGAAGCACAAAAGGCCAATAATTGTGGGAAAAATCATGAAAAAAAAAAGTCAGCCGGAAGGGGTTTAACAGTACCAGATCTCAAATGCGCTACAAAGCAGAAATTCTCAAAACAACTGGGTACTCTTTAAAAAACAGAGAGGCAAATCAGTACAACAGATTAGGTAAACAATAGTCAGAGTAAACAAATGCAGGAGCCTAGTGTTTGATAAACCTGAAGAATCTGGTACTGGGGTAAGAACTCACTATGTGACAAAAACTTCAAGGAAAACTGGGCAGCTGCCTGGCAGAAATTGGCTTTAGAACAATACTTCACACCTCATACGAAGACAAGCTTTGTTGTTTAGTCAACCAGTCGTTTCTGGCTCTTTGAAATGCCATCTGGGATATTCTTGGCAAAGATACTGGAGTAATTTGCAATTTCTGTCTCCAGCTCATTTTACAGATGAGGAAACTGAGGCAAAGAAAGTTAAGTGACTTGCCCAGAGTCACAAAGCTAGTAAATGTCTGAGGTCATATTTGAACTCAGGTCCTCCTGACTCCAGGGCTGGGGCTCTATCCACTGTGCCACCTAGCTATCCTGGGACAAGATATAAATGGATATGTGACCTACATACAAAAGGTCACATCATAGGCCAATTAGAGGAACACAGAAGAAATTACCTTCCAGTTCTACGGATAGGGTAGAGTTCATGACCAAACAAGAGACAAAGAGGATCATATCAGATAAAATGGATAATTAGGATTATTTAAAAATTTAAAAGATTTTGCAAAAACAAATCCAATACACCTAAGATTAGAAGGGAAACAGTTAACATAAGGGGAAAAATATTTGCATTAAGTCTCTTTGATAAAGGTCTGACATTCACACTTATTAAGACCCCATTCCACAACTGATAAATAGTCTAAGGATATGAACAAGAAGTCGTCAAGGGAAGAAACTCAGGTCACCTAAGGCATACCAAAAAAATGCTCCAAATAGCAAATGATTAGAGAAATGCGAATTAAAGCAGTTCTGAGGTTCTACTTCATAGTCTGTCAGACTGGCAAAGATGACAAAGAAATATAAATGACAAATGTTAGAGGGGCTTTGGGAAAACAGGCACACATGTACTGTTTGCAAAGCTATGAATTAGGCCAACAATTCTGAAAACAATTTGAAATTGTGCCCCAAAAGTTACTGAACAGTACATACTACTGCTAGGGTAATACCCCAAAGATATCAAAGAAAGAGGAAAAAGTCCTCTATGTACAAAAATATTTATAGCAGCTCTTTTTGTGGTGGTAAAGAACTGAAAACTAAGGGGATGCCCATCAATTGGGGAACAGTTGAACAAACTATGGTATATAAACATAATACAATATTATTTGCTCTAAAAAATGGGGAAAAAAGAGTTTTATAGAGATCTGGAAGACTTGTACAAATTGATTCAGAGTGAAATGAGCTGAATCAGAAGAGCAATTTTTACTATAATATCAAATTGTAAGAAAAAACAATTCTGAAAAACTTAACAACTCTGCTCAATTAAATGATCAGTCACGATTACAGATGACTGAAAAAGAAGGATGCTGCCTATCTCTTGACAGAGGGATGATGGACTAGTATGCAAAATAAGAAATACATTTTTGGATATGGCCAATGTGGGAATTTGTTTTACTTGGCTATACTTATACAGGGGTTCTGATAATTTGTTTTAAAATTTTCAGGGGGTGAGGGGCTGGGATGGATGGGAGGAAGAAAAAAAATACTTGTTAATTGAAAAAAAAATTTTAATACAAAAATTTTTTGCTTCCAAAAAACAAAACAACCCCAAATATCACTGACAGTATCTCAACAGTCACATCTGTCAGTTCTTTTAACACTTCAAGGCATAGTTCATCTGGGTCAGGTAACCTGAATTTATCAAAGGCAGCTTAGGTACTCTTATAATCTTCTTTATATTGAGTATCAACTCTCTTAGAAGACATTTTTTGGTATGTCCTTTTTAGTTTAAAGTTCATTCCCCTTGGCAGAGGAAACAGAAGCAAGATGAGAATTGAGCCATCTGGCTTCAGTTATCATCACTCCAACTCTCCCAAGTAGCAACACTATCTCTTCCTTTGATCCTCCTTTTACTTGGAAGTAGGAAAACATTTCTTGTTATCCTTAGCTTTCCTCTCCCGCTGAAGATCACCAGCTCAACCCAAGCTTGAGAATTTAGCATACGATTCTTGGAAGGGTTCCCTGCTCTTGCTCCCATCTTACACACACACCTTTGTAAAATCTAAGTTGGTCGGTGATTTCTCTTTACATTTATAGGTCTCTTCAGATGTTCCTACTCCTCCCTCCTTCCCTGGCTGCCCCCACCACATGCTTTCTCACTCTCTATGAAATGGTGCTAGCTGGGTCCACTAGAAATTTATGCTCATACTCTCACTGCATTGCCATTGTACATTTCTGCACCTCCTTTTCTTCACCTTGTATTGACTTTTTTATAAGGTTTTATTGATGACTTTTGTTTTTATATCATAGTCAATTCTGAATAAGTTCCCTCCCCTACCCAGTGAGCTTTCCTTTTCAACAAAGGGGGGGGGGGAAGCTAAATAGTTAAGCGAAACCAACTCTGATTGCTAACACATGCAATATTCTAGAACCATAGTCCCCTACCCCTATAACAACAACAAAAAGCACATCCTCTCAGGCAAAGGCCGGTCATTACAATTATAGAGTTTTGTTTCTTTTCATTTAC